TTTTTTATTGATTATTATTGAAATATTATTATATTATTCTTTTTCCAACGAGCAGTAGTTTGAAAAAAAGTTAATTACATATAAAATCGATGATTTATTTGACTACACTATCGATACCACAGTTGGTTCTGATTGCTTCCCCAAAGCAGCTATCTTTAAATTATCGAATTTCGTACAAAACACAACAGGTCGTAGGATATAAGCATGTCAACAAATGTCGGTAAAATCCGCCTAAGAAACTTGGCTGAATTGCAGCAAATTCAGGTTGAAAAAGATGAAACAGATGACGTAATAGTAGTTGCAATATCCAGTGCAGATGAAAACAAGACTCCAGAAAAACCGAAAAAGGCGGGAAGCAAACGTGCATCATCTACAGCAAAGAAGAAGAGTACTGATGAAACTAAAAAAGTTATTACTACTAACACTGCTATCAAACGGACTGTGAAAAAGGATCCTTTACCAGGTCAAATGCGCATCGATTCCTTTTTCAAGAGCTCCGCGAAAAGCTATAAAGTTGAGGTCTCATCAGAAAATAGCCCAATAAAAGTAAAAGCACGTAAAGGATGCAAGCGGCTGTTCGATGAAGATTCCACAACAAAGGAAACTATTCCTAAAACCTCCGTGCTGTCTTCGGATATCGAAAATAAACGGCAGCCTGTAAGAAAACGCACGCTGCCTCAACGCAAAGCCAAGGCAAAATGCTCAACTTCCCCGGCTGCCATAATTGATCTGTGCTCCGACAATGAGTCAGAATCTAATCAARGCATCAGCRCTAGGCCCATTCCAATTGATATATTGAAAGATTGTCAGCTGRATCCATTACCTATGGTGAATATACCCAATTTAGAAATTCAGGGAAATAATGATGCTGGTGCACACTCAAAAGAMAATGGGCCRAAGGAACGAAAGCGCAAGCGTTGTCCGTCCTATAAGATTGTAGAAGATACGACATTCGTAGTCGATGGTTTCCAATTTGGCGACATACCGAATGCGACGCACTACTTTCTTAGTCACTATCATGCCGATCACTATGTGGGCCTCACCCGGAAGTTTGCACATCCGCTGTATATGAGTCCAATAACAGCGAAGCTCGTGCGCACTTTTATACCCATTGACAACCAATATATGCATGAAATCGATGTTGGAGAGTCCATAACGCTCAATGAGATTGAAATAACTGCAATAGACGCCAATCAGTAAGTAGTACTA